AATAAATAAATAAAGATAATTTGGAATCACGGACGCAAGAGGTTTTTCCTTTTTTATTTAATGTCTTCCCACCAATTTTGACCACGATCTGATAAAAAAGTAAATGATCGTATTAAAAGAAAAAAACAAATCCATGTTAGTAATTTTTTCTAAAGAATTTTTTTACCAAGCCAGGAGATGTATCCCACAGCCAGTTGTTCCGCCGGGCACATCCAGCTAACGTCGGACCAACCCAAGTCCCACCTATAAACCGGGAGAAAAGATGCTACATGAATCATAGAGTGCATCTGAAAAAAAAAAAAAAAAAACTGTAGCAGGAACCTCTGCTTAGAACTCAAAAGTAGAGGTGAGCATAGTTATGGTTAATCGAATAATCGTATTTCGTCAAACCAAATTATGTATTTTGGTTCGGTTTCAAATTTAAATTTATAAAATTAAAAATCGAACCGAAATACAGAAATTATTTTGGTTCATTTTTGAAAAAAAAGTTTGATTTTCATCCAAAATTGAATATATTGAAAGTTTTTTTTAAAAAAAAACGCATCACCACCACTTAAAAAAATATTAAATTATAACAAGATTACACATTTATAAAAATTTCATTTTCTACACTTAATTTGAGATTTAAATTATGATATTCAAGAAGAAGTATAATCTTTATTAATTCAGTCTATATACTAAAAAAGAAAAATCTATAAATATTAGCTCGTCTATATTTAGAATTTATGAATTTTTTAAAAAATATTTTCGTTAAAATTAAAATTTTATGAAACTGAACTGAAATAATTCGATTTCAAACAGAACTTATCTAACTTATTTTGATTTTAATTTTTTTTAAATTCAATTAATTAAAAACTGAAGTAGATTTATATAAAACCTAACTATTTAACTGTTGCTAATCCTTACTCAAAAGAACCTTTGATTTGCTGTATGGTTACTTTTGATTTAAAAGTCTTTTATTATTGCAACATTAAGACAAGGGGACATAGTCGAGGTCCCTATAATTGACTTTACATGCCTTTGTGGAACTCGTTTTCATGTACGTATGCTCGTCTAGTCGTCTTCAGCTTTCTCTATCAAGAACTAGTCCACATAAAGCTTACGTAAACAAAACAAAAAAAATCATAAACAATGCTACCATTAATGTTTTTTCAAAATTAATGTCTCATCGCCAACGCACAATCACGTGTGAAGTGGATAATATTAAGAGTCACAATAATAAAAAAATAAGAAAAAGAAAAGGTAAGAAGAGTGTGGCGCAGGGCTCCCGTTCTTAAGACTGACCAAATTAAAAACTTGCTACGTTATGGGAAATAGAAAGACAATGAAACTATAAAACTCAAAAGCTCCAATAACACCGCTCTTCAACGCAGGGGATCCTGACTGTGTCGTGCGGCGACCCGAAGAGGTTGCGTGTGTAACAACCAGCGAGTGACATTGTAGATTGGCCGTTAGCGTAGGCCAAAAGTCGCTCGTTTATTTATTTCTTTTTTCTTGGCCTGGAAAGTCACGCTTCATTTTATCCTTTGACAGGGGCCATTGGCTACAAAATTCTAATTTATTCAAGATTATTGTTGTCTTATCGTAGAATTGTAAAGAGCATGGATTCACGTTTCTTAACGTTTAGAGGTGTTTGAAAACGAACTGTAAGTATTGTATGACCAAAGTGACATTATTCTAAACCAGAGTTACACGCTGAATGCCATCCAGTTGGTTTGGTTGGTAGATTAATTCGTTGGGCATGTTATTATTAGATTAATTTTTTTCATTCATCAAAAAAAAAAAAAGTATTCTTAGATAAATACTTATATATGAAAAAAAGTATGCTTAGAGTAATATCATCTCTAATCTTGGAGGATTTAACTGGGTGGTTAAAAAAATATATTTTATTTTTTAACTTTTTGAATTCTAACCTTAAAGCCAAAATTATGAGGAATTCTTAAAATCATCTAAATAAATTATTTCAATTGATATAACAATTTAGGAAAAGCACAGATGGTTAGCGGTGGATTCACAAATTAAATAGACGGGGACGAATAAAAAGCTCAGTTAATGGAAAGAAAATATCCATTTTTTTAAAAGACAGAGATAAAGATTAAGCCAGCGTTTTTTTTAAAAAAAAAAATATCAATACCATAATCAGAATAAACTTCTTATAAATTCTATATATTGCATCTTCAAAAGAGATCTCGAAAGAGTTTGATCTGTCTAAACCATACTGTTGCGATAGAAGTCCAAATAAGATCCAAAATAAAAAGAGATATAAATGTATAAAAACTCTGTAATATTATAAAATTCTTTATCCTATTAAAAAAAAAAAAAAAAAAACAGAGAGAGATAGTAATATTACATCTCTCATATAACTTTCTTCAAGATTATTTATTGATATTAGATTTTTAATTTCTTGCAATGCCTATCCATCAAAAAAGAAATGAAGAGTCCATGAAATACATAATACTACAGTTGTATCCAGAATAAGGATCCTTCAATCAAGGTCATAATGAGGTAATTGCTGATGCTAAATTAAATTTTGGTTGTATTCTCAAAATTTGGAGAAACTTCTACTTCTATCCTTGGAATTAAAGTCTTATTCATGTACATTTTTTGCTCCGTACGTCCACCTCCGAAAATGGCCACCATCATTTCATTTAATTTTCAAATTTACCCTTAATAGTCTTTCGTATAGGATTCAAATTGCTACTATCAATAATTACCAAAATCACATTAAAAAACATTTTATCCAAAAACTCATTAAGAAAATTTTTTATTCATAAAACTCCAAAACAAAATAAACTCACATTTCTAACTCTAACTTAACAACTTTAAACAATTTGAAAATTTTGGGATGAAAAACTTTTATTTTATGATTTTTTTTAGATACAAAATATTTTGATATGTTTTTTGTATAAAATTTGCTACCTGGTTATTTATTACAATATTAATAAATTTACAAAATATATATTATTATATTTTATTTTTTGTGTGTGTGCGTGTGCGTGTGTTAGAGAGGAGGAAAAAAATATTTGCTTAAAATAGTCGTTGAAACAACCGTTGCAATTTGAAAGAAATAATTGTTGTCCATTATAATGTGTGTGTAACTTTACTTGTAAAACGTAATTGCACGAATAATTTAGTTTTTATCCGAGACCATTAAAATATCCAATAAAACGAACTACAAAATGCATATGTACAATATATTTTAAGAAAAATACCACGGAAAATCTGATAGTTAATTTTAATAACAACTTTTCTCATCCTAGGCCCAACCTATTGTCCTTTACAAAACACTTGTGTATAGGCCCCCTATTGTCCTTTACAAAAATCCTTGTGTTTAGGCCCAGTACTAACTACTTAAAACTTTACGCTCAAAATAAACATTTTTCTCAACTGACTTTCAGTAATTGAATCAAATTAATATCCAAACATTTAAAAAATAAAGAAGATCAAAGGATATAAATGAAGACAAACTTTACAACTTGTAAAGACTTTGACAGGAGCAGATTCGGACAGCTTTAAAATTCGGACGAAAACAATTTATTTTTACTGAATTGAATTTTATTAGAAAAGTTACTGTTCAAGAAAACTACTATTCTAGTAAATTTGTATTTCTATTTAATTTTAGTTTTGACATTAAGTTTGATATACTTTATAAGTAAACTAATATTGTCATCGTAATTATTTTTCCTTATAGTTTTACCCGTTATCTTAATAACCATTAGGTGACATGTCCATGCCCCTGTCGTAGTAGGCATCAAACTAGAAACTAGAAACGGTGCTTTTTGTATCACCTAGCTAACAAGAAGTTCACTCGGGCTCGTTCAAAATAGAAATTCGCAGCGTTAGGCTTCTCTATATTCAGTCTTGCGATCAATCATCGTTCTTCTTCTTTAAATATAATCCATGGGCTCTTTTATTACTGTAAGTTTATCAAAAATTGCCAGGCATTTTAATAAGCACTTGGAGGGTAAACAATATATCACCGTCACACTCAATCAACATAGAAGGTGATAATAAAAAAACTCTAGCTAAGAAGCAATATGCAAGAAAGAAAATACCATAAACCAGCCTAATCAAATTTATCACATAAGTTCAAGTTAGCAACTTTGAGGAGGTTATGATACGATTTAAGAATAACTGCAGTGACAGAATAATAGTGCAATCGGAGAAGATCGATGACCACTAGTTGGTTATCCAACCGGAAACCCAATCGAAAAGGCAATTGATAAGTTTGGGCAAAACACACTGAACTTCGAATAAACTTTTATGTGAAATGGAGAAATGAATGACATGTGGGCCTAGGAAGGAGCCCACCTGGCACAGTACCCTGGACATGAGGTCTACATGCTGCGGCCTTGGCTGACGTTCTCTAACTCATGACACAAAATCCGAATAGGGCCTGTAGAGCTTATTAATCCGAACATAAGAAAAAGGCTTGCTTGGTCTTTAACTGGCTCAGTCTATCCTAAATGAGGCTCTTGGATCAAACTAACCGACTCATCCACCATATATATATATATATATATATATATATATATATATGCACTATACATATAACATATGCTTAGGGAGGGCAATCCAACCGTCCCGAAGCCATCCTGTCCTGCCCCGCCTCATTTGGAGCGGGAATGGGGCGTGAAATTTTATCTTGTACGAGACACGGGGTGAGAATGGGGGAGTGGGGATAACGATCCCTGCCCTGTCCTGTCCTGTTTTTTTTTTTTCATCTTTAAAAAAGATAATTTAACGAGGCCTCGCCCTGCCCCTTCTCGTCCTATTTGGGATGGGAATGAAGAGCGAAATTTCACCTCGATCTGGACACGAGGAGGGAATCGGTTTTTTTTAAGGGATGAGACGGAGATGGCGATCCCTATCCCGCCCTGCCCCATTGCTATCCCTACATATGCTCCTCCATTGAGCTATTTTTTATCAAATTAGACAATATGGATGACATCAATGCATACATTTAACAATGGCCCGTCAGTTCTGCACGCACCAATTTTCTAACGATGGTTCGAAACCATTTGTGATAAGGGAATTGACTCCTTTACTCCTGTCCGTGGATAAGTTGTTAAGACTATCTTTAAAGTAAGAGATTTTGATCTAAAAGAGGTAATTTTGAATATAAATAATTTTAATTCGTTTAAATAATTAATTTTTTATCCGAGTTTTTATGTATATAAAAAACTCATTGACTAGTTGTTTTCATATTATATATTAGACAGAATAATAAGGGATTAGTTTAAATTTTTTAACTTGTCATGCTCTCGAAGATCTAAAAATAAGAAATTTTAATTATTTTTTTTTAATCTTTTATCTCTGACTTATAACACAATCAAGCAATGATCACAATTCGATCTTTTGTTATTAATTTCTTTTTATATTTTTGCTAACTTAAGCATCGAAATGATCACCAACCTTTCAAATAAAACTGGTTTTGCAATTTCTCTATAGCCAATATTATTATTTTTAAAAAAAATTATTAGTTTAATCTTGCAAAGAGCTACCTCGTAATTGTGGGTTTTTCAAACTTATCAAAAATGACAATGAAGTTATGATGAACTGCTGCAGTACGCGATGACATTTAAGTTTTTCCCTTACGTGTAGAAAAGCAACACTTTAACTTCAGTTACGTACTTATACTTTAAGTTATTATTATCATTGTTCTATACACTAAAGCAAAGCAAAACGTTTTTTCACTATGTAGCAATGAACAATGCTCAATCATTATACATTGCTACAATATTTTTTTATTTTCATTATTTCTTTTGGCTAGACCCGTTGCCTCTCCCCCCATCCATACTGTTCATTTTGAACAATAAACGGCTTCCCTCCTTTTTTTTTTTGTAAACATTGTATTTTTTAAAAAAATTTCTATCCATTTACTGTTCACATGAACAGTAAACGGCTTGCACCTTGTTTTTTTTTTTTTTCTAAACATTGAATTTTTTTTTAATTTCTGTTTCTTAATAGTATTTGGTGTTAAAATTTTAAAAGAACCAACAATTAATTGGGTGTTAAAATTTTAAAGAAATCAACAATTTATTTCCTTTATTATTTATTTTTAAAATTTTAAAAAATAAATAAGAAATAGTTAAATACAAAATTTTTAATTAAAAAATTATGATTATTTTTTACCATAAAACAGATTATTAAATTGAAATAATTTTTTTAAACGATTTTATATATTTTATCCAACCCGCGACATAGCGCAAGTAAAAAATCTAATACTATATACTAAAGAAAAACCATTTTTCATCGTAGCAATGAACGGTGTTAAAACACTCGTTCATTGCTATATTACTTTGGCTTTTTTTGGTTTTTTAAGTTTTCATTTTTTTTTTCTGCAGCATGGCTAGCCTTCCCTCCCTCCTTTTTTTTACCCGTTTATTGTTCATTTGAATGGTAAACGGCTTGCCCTCTTTTTTTTTTTTCTCTAAACACTAATTTTTTTTTAATTTCCGTCCGTTTACTATTCACATGAACAGTAAACGGCGGGCCTCCTTTTCTTTTTTCCTAAACATTGAATTTTTTTTAATTTTAATTTCTTAATAATATTAGGTGTTAAAATTTTAAAAGAACCAACAATTAATTGGGTGTTAAAATTTTAAAGAAATCAATAATTTATTTGCTTTATTATTTATTTCTAAAATTTAAAAACACAAATAAGAAATAGTTAAATATAAATTTTTTTCATTTAAAAATTATAATTATTTTTTATCATAAAACAGATTATTAAACTGAAATAATTTTTCTATATGATTTTATATATTTTATCTAATTCGCAACGTAACGCGGATAAAAAATCTAGAATAAACTATTGGAAAGGTCCGGGGATGTAGAATTTTAATTGATTTATCATGCTCTAAATGGCTTAGTCTATATGCTGACGAGCAGGGTAGACCTAGCTAGCTAGTCTACCCAACAAATTCTCCTTCTTTAGAACAACGACTCCGGAACGATCCATGCAAATTATTATCATAAAAACATAAGTAGTATAATGGAGTTTCCATTTCTAGGCTTGGTATAGTTACTTCACTGCATTAAATTATAAAACTTTTAATTTTATGAAATAATAAGAAAATATGATACAATAATGGTAAATAGTTATTAGATCGTAATTAATTCAAAATAATTTTTTTATGATTTAAATAGTCTTTTTTTTCCTTCTCTAAGGTAATAATTTTTTATTTATTGAAATTGTACTTAATCATTCATAACTATCATAATTAGTTAAATTACAAGAAAAAATATATTTTTTAATAATTATCAAACTCTTTAAAATTTTGGAATCACTATTTTATTATAAAATGAATATTTTCATGTTTAATTATATGAGTAAAATAATATTACTTTTGCATTACCCAATAATTTCTCTAAATCCCATCTATTGCACGGGCTTCCCTCAATGATCCACACAAATGCCACAATTGAGTCTAGAACAATAAAAATGCCTCACGTAAAACTTGGTCCAAACCAAAAACTGAATTTGGAACAAAGGCTACCAAACCCAGTACATCTCTACAGGCCTAAATTGAAAAGCCATACATTTTCTTGGGCAAAAAGCCCATTTATAAAATACAAAATAAACATCTTAAAAGCCCATTTGTAGAGGACACTTTAGTATTTTCAGCTAAGAAATTAGGGTAAACCCACGAACCGCTTATCTAAAGAAGCCGCATATCAGCCGTCTCGTATCTCTCTCTCTCTCTCTCTATAAAAGAAGGCAGCCCAGTTGCGATTATTCAATGCTTGTCATCAGCAATCCCTGGTTAGGGTATCGGTGTTGCTCTGCTTCCTCTCACAGTACTATCAAAGCTATGTTAATCCAGTTACTTTCTTAGATCTCTCCGTTTTTCTTGGCTAAAGTATCAATTTTTAAACACAACTGAGTTTTATTTGCTTTGATTTTCCGAACCCGCGAGAGATTTTTCTTTTAATGATTATTAAAAGCAGAAGGCTTCTTTATCTGGTCAGTGTGGAATTTCAATTCCCATATGACTCGTTCCCTAGAAGCGATATTGCTTGTGTTGCTTTTTTTTTTAATCTCTCCTTCCGCCTTTTTTTGGGTGGCCTTGGGAGTAAACTAGGGCAACTACATTTAAAATTTTAATTGTTTTTGTTTTTTTTTCAGAAAAAACAGGGAGTTTATAGAATTAAAGGAACTGTGATGAGTCAATACAGACCTGTAATGACTTGCGGCAATGATCGCAACTTTTATGAACATCTAAGGGACTGAGTTCCTTTTATACTTCTCCCTCCTTTCCTTTTTATTTCTTTTTGAATGATTTTTTATTTATTTATTTTGTTTTGGTAAAATTGAATATTTGAGGCTTCACGTCTTAGTTTGATCAAAAGCTAAAACTAAGATTTGATTAGTTTGTGCTCATATAATCGAAGCCTGAAAAGTTTGTTCCCCTCGCTATCCAGAGCTGCGTTTTGTGTTGTATTTGGACGTCGGGGAACTACATTCTCTTGTTACAATTTTGCTATTTTGTGATTCAATTTACAATTAAAGTCATAGAACTATTCTCCAATTAAAAGAAATGGCTAGATGATAAATATTAATTGTGGGGTGAAGATATTTAAAGATGATGCGTTGATTTTGTGTCGGTATCGTTTTATGCCAATTTTTTTTTTTTTTTGGAGAAATATCGATTGTCTTTTAAAAATTAGCACAACGACTTGTTTAATCAAAAGGTTGGATTGGAATTGAACTTGATAAAGTTCATGTGATAATTTTCCGAACTTTTTAGGCATTGTTGAGATATTTCAAAATATCTAAGTTGCTTAAATTATTTCATACTGGATTTTCAGAATCACTCTTCTTACGTAGCGATTGTCATTGAGCAGTAGTTAGTTGCTTTTTGTCGGATGATAATTGTATGGGGTCTTTAATTTTAAGGTCTATAATTTGTTGTCTATACTTCGATTATCTTACATCGTAGCTCAAAACGTGGAGCTTTTGAATTTTGAATCATTTTCAAGGATTCAATTTAACTTGGGAATTGTCGAATGTGTCAAAGGTTATATCTGTTGCTTGGATGTCGTTATTTGCTTTCTAAAGGGGTTTTAAGTAGCACTCGTTGACAATGAAATTCTTCTTTCTGAACTTGCTGCAGATCTGTTCAATTATCTGTGTTAAGATTTATAATGCAAATTCAACATTTGGATGATGTTGTTTTTCAACAGGATAGAATATTATTGTGAATGTTCAAGGTGCAATTTATATCAATCTCCTTTGCTGAGGAAGATTTGATTATCTTACCGAAACTTGTTTTTGGTGCTCCCTACTCCCCCTGGCACGAAGCTTGTTTGTGGTGATGCGTTTTTCCCTGGTACGAAATTGGGGTTTTCACATCTGAATATCTGGGGAATGATTGGCTTATTTTTCTTACAAAGGATTTATCTACAAGTTACTCCTATTGCTGATTCCTCAATGCTGGGAAAGGAAAAGCGAATCTTTGTATAATCTGGAATTCCATTTTACAATATTTACCATAACACACTAGAATTGGTGGAGAGTGGCAATTGTGTAATGGCTGATTGGTTCCTTTTATTCTTGATGTGCACTGCCTGATGGCGTTCCCCTGTTGAGCAACAAAAGGGGAAGAAACCAAAGATGTTAAACAAGTTGGTTTTTGATAAATGAATTCTTTTCAATCGCATAGAAAAAGTAGTAAACTAAGTAAAGGTTGGGGCTTTATTTAGATTGGGGGACGAAAATTAACACTCGAAGGAAGCATTGAATTCGCAGTTGCATTTGCCCAGCACTGGCCCATAGCTTAAGATCTCAGACAGCGGGAATTTGATCCATATTCCTTAAAAAGCCTACTCACCAAATACTTACATTGACGACCTCCCAACGACAAGCTATATGTTTCCATGTTAGAAGGTCCCAACGACAAGTAGTCCAGACTCTGGGATAATAAAAAGGAACGGAGGACAATTGCACATGTTTTTTATTTTTTTGGGTAAACTACATCGCAACCTATAGTTTCCCTAAGGACCCATTCCACCGCTGTAGTTTAAATTTTTCAAGAAACTCAATTTTATTCCTGATCATTGAGCAGCTAGTCAGATCTTCTATTGAGTCCATGTTTTTAAAGAGTAATAATAGAGTAATTTTAAATACTGTGAAAATATAATTAGAATGAAATCTAAAAATGTACATAGGTTTTTGAGTCCATGTTTTGAAAAGGAATAAATTGTAAAATACTTTTCACAACTTTAGCAAAAATATCCATGATTTTATCCTTCAAATAACATTTTTTTGGGTCCCTGGTTCAGTGTTCTGATGTGAAATTAACGAAAATGCCTAGAACAAACCTTTTTAATTACCCTCTTCTCTGCAACTACACTGAAAAAACAATCATTTTCTTTTCCTCTCTTCTTCCCTCTAATGCTAAACTTGTAAGCCATTAAAGAAATGAAAAATCAAAGCAAGTCGTATGAACTTCTCCTGTAAGAAAACCCAAATTGAAAATCCAATCAAAATCTATCCATAAACATCGTAATTCAATTATTTTCAAGTTAAAAAAAAATGACAATTTATTGGAGCTGTTGTAGTGCGTGATGGTCGATGATGGTGGAGAGAGAAGCTGTTGTTGTGTGTTGTTGTCACTAGGGATGATGGAAGAAAATGGTTATCTCGCATCTTTGATAGCCCATGGTTTTTGGTGATGAGAGAAAGAGTGGCTATTGTTACTGCCAACTCCAGCTGGAATTGCTATTGTGATTGTAAAATGATTGTGAGGTCAGTTGGCAGCCTATGACTATGCCTTTGGGTGCGGGTGTGTTAATTTTTGCAAATGGAGGCTTGATTACGATAGGAATTAGGTGACTGGTTTGTGTTTTTGTATCCGCTGCAGAGAACATAGAGTGGAATTGGGAGGATTTTGGGGCATTTTCAACAATATTTTATCAGAATTTTATAAAAAGAGCAGAATTAGGGATTTTTTTTTTTTTAGGAGGGGCTTTTTTTTTTGAAAAAAAAAAAAGATCAGAGAAGTATTTTACAATTTATCATTTTAAAATGAGATCTATTTGTAAGTTCTACCAATTGAACAAATTTGGTATATTTTTAAAGTTTTTTTTTCTTTTTGTCATATTTTCTTAATGTTCAACATTACTTCGTAACAATAAGGTGAATTTTCTTAACAATTTTAATGCTTGTAACACTGAAACTCCTACATAACTAAAAAGATTATTCACTCTTACTTTATCCAAATTGAAGTTTGAACGGATAAAGCTTCTGGGTCTTCGGTTAAGAACATATATATATATATATATATATATATATATATATATATATTGCAAGTTTTTGACCGAAACTTATTAACAATAAGATGGAAATGTTACGAATATATTCAAATTTTATTACACAGTATAGCTGATGGCTTGATGGCAAGATCTTATTTTTGCTATCAGGTTAGGAGTTCAACATGTTTTTTCTTCGAGTATTATTGACTGATACGTGGTAGGTTGAACCGCATTAAATCAGGCCGGATCAGTTCGTTTTTAATGATTTTCACCATTTTGGTTTCTTGATCGGGTCAAATACTCAAACAGTCAGTACCTCCAACTCTAATCGATGTAAGATTCAATTCATCGTTTTCGAGTTGAACCGTCCAATCTGATCCGATTATGATAACTATGCGTAGTAGTTGTTCTGTGGCACTAAATCATGTGAGCTTCGTTAAAGACGGGCTTCTCTCTAACAACTGATTTCTTTCTAAGGGTGTCAGTGTCGTTGGAGATTTTATATAGGTTGTTTTGAATAGATGCTGCATAAATCCTTTTGCCAATAGAGCTATGAGGGTTGCATCCAGATCTAGGGGCCTAAGGGGGTCGTGGTGTAGTTACTTTTTTATTTGGCTGGCGACTGGTTGGTCATGGAAACTCTTGTGATCTCTGAGTTTGGTCTTAATTATGTTGTTTATGCAAAGGAGTGTCATGCAAACCTATAAATTGAGCTTATTGTTGGGAACACAACAAGTCATGTAGTAATAAGTAAGGAAGGCACTTTCTATTAATTTCATCGAGTGGAAAAAAAGACCGTAGCTTTTTCGACCGTGTTTTGTCAGTCTTTTCCTTTAGATGCAGGCCAGTGACTGTTTCTAGGGGCGGTGGTGATACGTAGCGATCGCACTGGAAATGGTTGTTGTCCGCCCTGTAATACGGGGAACTGTTGCCCTTAATTATTTCGTCGTTGGCTTGAGGACTTTTTAGTGAGACTCTTGATATTTTATGGTGTTCGGCTTGCTCGCTTTGTCTCATTTTTAATAACTCTTATTAATAAAGAAGTATATATATATATTATACTCCACTGTTTTAACATGTCTATATTGACTTGTTCTACTGTTTCTAGGATAGATTTAGTATTTCAATCTTTGAGTTTTTTTTAAATACTTGGCTATAAAATTTACAGTGATGTTCAAGTTTTCTAGCTTTTAAGGAGAACTATAATGTAGTAAAAAAAGTAAAAATAAAAGGGATAATACTGAGAAGTTTTGATGCATGGAGTAGATATGGAACATTGTTGAATTTATAAAGGATGAAAATGAAGTTTTAATTCTGTTATAGGGAGCAGATAATAATGATATTGATATTGATATCTATCCGCCGGTGATAACGGTCACCAAATAGCAACACGTTGTCAACAACGGTAACTTCAGGGAAGTTGCGCTAGAGCCGGTCGGGATGGGACCCACTGTGCCTGCTCACAATAACATCTTCCAAGCTAAGAAAAAGCGAGGACAGAGAGAGTCGTTCGCTGATGATAGAAAGACTTGAAAATAAAAACACTCCATGCACACTGCCACCGCTACTGTATTCTATCTGTCACATCCTTAACGTGTTTGACTTGTTCAAAAAATAATAAAATCAAGGTTCCCGCAGACACTACCTCTTGCTAGTATTTTCCAAAAAGGGCGCCCATAACCTTGCCTTAAAAGACGCTCTTACCCCTATTTATAGAAAAAATTGATTAATCAGAATTTAATAAAAGTTCATTTTTATATACAAAAAAAACTTATGACTGCACTGAAATCCACCTATTCATTTAACTTGTTGGCTTAAGTTGGCTGATTGGTCATGGAAAACTCTGAGTTGATCGGTTGTGGACTTGTGGTCTACCATGTGAGAGTGTTTAAATTTTTATTTTATTTTTGTCAAATATCTCTTAGCTCAAAAGAAACAAATATTGAAAAGCTGATGTTTATTTGGATTTAACTATGTGATTTTTCATTATTTTTTTATTTTGATCACGGATTTTGTGGGAATTCTTACAAATTCATTTTATTTAAAATCAATAAGAATAAAGAATAACTTTTTTTAAATAAAATTTTTTGCCATTGTTCCTAACCTTTTAAAGTGCTTATATATTTGTAAAAACAAACAAAAAAAGGACGTATATTCTTTGGTATATAGCATTTTTTTTTAATGTATTCTTTTCTTCCAATAATTTTGAGCTTTATCATTCCATATATTAAATGTATAATAAAAAAAAAACTACAAAAGAATTGATAAAAAAATATATACAAATTTATTTTATCTTAATTGTAAAAAAAGTAATTAATTATAGTAATATTAATAAAAATTCACACATTTTTATAACAGAACTTCATTGTCTTCATAAGTCAAGTTATTAATCCCTATAAGCTTAGATATTTCTTCAATATCACATATCATCTCTTTTAAAATAAATAAATAAATAAAAGATTGTTTTGGAGTCCATGGATGATTTTAGTTCAGATTAAAAAAAAATACAAATTTTAGAAATTTTGCATAATAAAAAAACTGAATAAGAAGTAATTATCAATATAAATATATTATTTCCATCATTTTTGTTTTACACGGTTTTGAAAGAAATAACACAATACTAAAAGACTAAAGAAAATGGATATTGAATTGTGCAATGTTTAAGGTTTTGATCCCAATACTTTTCATTAATGTACCATAGTTGGATGAAATTTTGGAAAAGAATGGAAGCTAATTGAATTATATGGTTGATTTGTAGGAAATTGAAAAAAAAAACAAATGAAAATCCAAACTAATTAAAAACTTTTCCCACTGTAAATTTTGAAATAAAAAACGCGCATACCCCTACCAATTAGATACGTAAATATTTCCAGGAAATTGTAAGAAATACAAGTAAAACGCGCATAAAAGATTCAATGCCACTTTATTAGGAAATTCCATTGACCAACTTGAAGAAAATCTTTTGACCCAAACCCTTAAAAGCAAAAAAAATATCCAAGGACAAAACCGACATTACGCAACAGAGTAGCTGCCCCAAATCACTAGTCAAAATTTCATGATCACCTCCAAGTATTTCCACACGCATAAGGTTTTTCTCTCCCCCTTTAAATACCCATCTTCTTCTCTTCAACCAAAAACAAAGACCAACGGCCCAGAAATCATAGAAACAATAGAAGTAGTAACAAAAACCGAACGTTGTAAAATTCAAAACAAAAACCACACGGAAAGAAAAGACGATGTCGTGCTCTGTTGCGGTATCGAATTCTCCTGTATTTTCTCCATCATCAACTCTCTTCTGCAGCAAAACAGCGGTATCAATCCCTTCATCACCAGCAGAAACAATAGCACTAACACTGACCCATTTAAAATCAACAACGCAATCTCCGTCTTCTTCCTCTGCTAATTCTCGTTCTTCTCCTTCTTCGTCTCCTTGCTCCCCGTTTCGATTTCGCCTTCAAAAACCATTGACTGGGTTCAATTCTTCTTCTTCTTTGGCTTCGGGTTCGGGGACGGCCCCGACGGTCTTGAAGAGGAAGAGGCCGACGAGGCTGGATATACCGGTGGTTATGGGGTTTGGAGGAGGGCTAGCAACGCCCAGGGCGGTGGAGGAAGCGGAGTTGGAGAGAGAAGGGTATGGCTATTCGGTTTATTGTAAGAGAGGCAGGAGAGAGGCTATGGAGGATCGGTTTTCTGCTATCGTTGACCTCGAAGGAGATGCCAAGCAGGTAATTTCATAGTTTTCTGTGATTTTTTTCGTTCTTTTTCCTCTCAGTTTAGGTATCACTATTCATTAGATTGGCATGTGAAATTAAATTGCTTTGATGAATTGCTTGTCTGAATTTATTGATTTTGTGAGGTCAATTGAGCTTTCTGTAAGAGATCATAAATTGGTGCAATCAAGATCATTTATAAACAAAAATAAAAAATAAAACATTGCGAATCATTAAACATGAATGGGAATTAGATATTGACGTGCTTCAGGGAATTTTAGAATATATCAAAGTTTTGAAAATAATTATGGTAAATGAAGACTTTTGATGATGTAGAAACATACTTTGGTTATGGCGACTTTCCAGGTTAAACCAAATATGGAACCACACCTGGAAATTGGTTATATGCTGTGTTGATTAAGATTGCGGCATTTTGTTTGATTTAGAACTCGTCTTATAATCTATGTATACAATGTCTTTGCAGGCTTTCTTTGGTATTTTTGATGGACATGGAGGTGCTAAAGCTGCAGAATTTGCTGCAGGGAACTTAGATAAGAATATTTTAGATGAAGTTGTCAGGAAGGATGAAAAAGAAATTAAGGATGCAGTTAAGCTTGGTTATTTAAATACTGATGCTCAGTTTTTAAAAGAAAATATTAGGGGTGGCTCCTGCTGTGTGACAGCTTTGATTAGGAAGGGAGACCTTATTGTATCCAATGCTGGTGATTGCCGTGCCGTTGTGAGTAGAGGAGGTGTTGCTGAGGCCCTCACAGCCGATCACCGGCCTTCTAGGGAAGATGAGAAGGACAGAATTGAGTCCATGGTAAGCAGCTTATCACCATATTAAGTAAGCTTTTTCATAGAAATATGGGGATTTAGGAAAGCTTTGTTTGAATTGGAACTGACATGTTTTATGGAATTTGTTTTGCAGGGTGGCTATGTTGATTTAATCCATGGAACTTGGAGAATTCAGGGTTCCTTGGCTGTATCCAGGGGAATTGGAGACCCGCATCTTAAACAGTGGGTGATAGCTGAGCCTGACACAGAAATTGTTAGAATCAAGCCTGAACATGAGTTCCTGATCTTAGCTTCTGATGGCTTATGGGATAAGGTATTTCCTCACAAGCAATCTTTACTCTTCTGAACAGGACGCTAGAGTCTTTGAAAGAATTTCAGTAGCTTAAATAATCTAAATAAATCCTTTTTTTTTACATGGTTTCAGGTTGGTAATCAAGAAGCTGTTGATATTACTAGGCATTTGTGCATAGGAGTCAAAAACCCAGAACCATTATCTGCCTGTAAAAAGCTTGCTGATCTCTCTGTTTCACGAGGCTCTTGTGATGATATTAGTGTGATGCTGATCCAGTTGGGACGCTATATTCAGTGAAACTATTCCTAGTTTGAAAAAAGGAACTTAGCTGACACATAGGCTGTTAGATATATATTTTCTGGAAGAACCTTGTAAGCTGGTAGCTGAAGGCTAACAATAAATGGAATAACTATTGTGTTTAGATTTTAGACTTAGCCGGATCTAGAAATAGTTTTTGACAAATCTTGGGGTTTATTTCACCCATGGCAGAGAGGGGATTGAACATAGTAGGATTCTTCAGCTGACATTCTTTCATTCATTCATTCATTTTAGTAGAAAGTTCATTTCTCGGTATTCAGCAACCTTGATTTGTCTACTAGGAAACGCAATAAAGTTTTGGTAATGAACTCTGTGGCTTGGTATTTAACTTTTGGGATGAGGATTTTCTACTTGAACGGGGCGTCAAACGAACGATGAATGCTTTATTTTCAACCTTTTCCCAATACGGCACTAGTTATTCTGTTGTAAAATTAAAATTTCAAAATCTATTTTAAATTCCAAGCGCTCTTATGAAAACGCAGTCATGTACCATGCACAAACGCGCTGTTAGCTTCTTCTAGTCCGGGCTCCAAGTGAATTATTCAATGTCTTATTGACTGTGTTAGACCTCTTTTTCGTATTCTTCAAACTGGACTATATGTTTGTAACATCTGTTCCAACTTGAATTGGTTGTTACTAAACCATTTCCAACACGAAGTCAATACGTTTGATATTGAACAAAAGGCATTGAAGACCATCTCCTTGTTATCTCCACGGTCCTCTCATCAGATTTCATAACCCTAGCTGGCTATTCCCGAACTTAAAAATTTAAGAATTGTTTGGTCTCATTTGCCGTTTAAGCTTACATAAACAGAAAACTTGTTTATTTTGGATTTTTTATTATAAAAAAAAAAACCCAACAACCACCGCTAGTATACTCGAAGAACATTTTATTGGGCTTTGGAAAATTCTAACGATAGATTGTCCCTTTTTTATGTGAAAAAAGGAAAAAACAAAAACAATTTTTTTTAATCTTTTTTTCACAAGAAAAAATTGACACCAAATGGCACTTTGATTTTTAAGATGCAACTGCCTTTTTAAGAGTAAAATAAGTTAGTATCTTTAGTTTTAGAGGAAAGAATTAATAAGTAATCATTATTTCAAAAACTCATTATTCATTTATTTATTTTAATTAACGTTAATCGTGTTTAATTTAATATTACTTTATTTTAAACAATATCTTCTTATTTCAAAATTATAAGGATTAATCTATGATTTTCTCTCCTTTTTAATCTGGATGTTTTTTTTCGGTTATATTTCCTATTAGCATTCCACTTGAATTACCAATGCACCGGATCGGCAAACCTTAACGATTATCCTTACTAAATCCCACTGCTGCCATATTTTATTTTATTTTTTTATAGCAATACACTATAGCTATATAGCCACACCAATAATAAATTATAAATTAATAAGGCTAAAGTTAGGTCAATATTCCGCGTGATTAGTAGGTAAATTCATCCAGTTAAGAAACAGCTGAATGTCTATCTTTTCAATAAGGTCATTTTCATATACAAATTATACTGTTCTAACGAACTTTCTTTTCAGATTATTGTTTACTTATTAAGGACTTAATTTCATTTCACTTTTATTGACCTAAATTTTATACCATCATGTGAAACCAGAAAAAAACAAGTGGAAAACTCAACCTATACGCATTGACCAAATCTTTCCTTTAAGGACCAATAAGATCCTATTCCAAAGAAATATTTCTTTGCTCCTGCCACCCACTAAATTCCAGTTGGCATAGACATCAATTTCATGATAAGGAACAGATCACTAAATTTGACCCACTAAGTGCACATGTCCAATTCAGGCCGAGTGCATGAGGTTCTATCCACACGACAAGTTCATGATAAGGCCATGGCCTTCCGTTCAAGGGGCAAGTTGGGTTCTTGGCTTCTTAGAGTTGGCTCATGTTACTTGTTTTGGTGTTTCCCATTGTATTAACCACGAGACAAACATAAAACGATCGCAACTATATATGCTTGCAAAATTGCATACATGCATGTTATTCCATGTGTAATTACTTCTTAAGATTACCAATGTTTATACCAAAACATTGTTTGCAAGGATGAAGTATCCACTTAAGCATGGCCTGGGCTCTAGGGAACTTTCAGGGTCCTTAATTTGTTGTCATTTTTATGTTGGGACATCAAGGTATTTTGTAAAGTTTCACTAGCACATTCTACTCCCACAATCAAATAATTCAGGCATGACAGCTAAAAGTACAGAGAAGTTGGAGACTTTCTGACTTGGGATTTCAACATACACAAAATAAGTTCTGATGATATGTCCGGATGATATGTGTCATTTATATATTTTTATAAAAGTATATGTGTTACTTATATATTTTTATAAAAAGTTTCAATCTGGATCGAACGTTTAGATAAAATAAATGATCGACCAAAACTTTGTCATCGTCTCATCAGAACTCCATTACGTAAATATATTCCGAACATTCAACTTGAAGGAAGAAAATACTCTCCACCTTATAATATGATTAAAAAAATGAACACTTAATAAAGACATACTTTTATAACTATTTTTATCATATCAATACCAATAATGCAACATCTCATTTATATAAGAGTCTTAAAAATCAAGAATTCTAGGTTCAATCATATCATCTTTCTATACAATATTTGCTATTTATTATTTCTTTCGTATTTCAAAATATATGTCATAATCTATTCAGACATTTTCTCTCTTCGTATATTTATTTGATCGTCCAAAAGTCTCTAAATTCATCAAAAATACTTGTCTTGTAGGTGTTTTGAAAAAAATAATAATAATAATCATTCATCTTTAATCTCTAATTTTCTTTAATCATAAAAAGCAACGTAATCATTGATCACCATTTCAGTTTCCATGTCTCATCAGCTCCTATTGAAAATCAATGCTTCAAAGTTTGAATCGATCCACCGTTGTGCTATGCATCACTGAACTCGTGAAGCAATATCAGAACCAAATCGTGAAATTGGAAATGCCTTGTTCTAATTTTCTACGGGCTAACTCATAAGCAGTACCATTTCGCGCTTCAAAGTTCATACAATCAATCATGTTCTGTATTTTTTGGGAAAGTACCAACCAACGGGGTGACCCGAATATTAGTGTCTTGATTCAACCCCATTGACAGATGTACATAGAATGTGTGAGAATTGCATATATTTTGCTTCACGTGTTACTTGTTTGGATGGTGCTAATTAAGCTTATTAAAATTTGTTCCAAACTAACACTAATCATAGATTCAACTATCGATCAGTCAACCAATATCTTCTTGGCTCCAAATTCGTCTGTGTGTACCCCTTTCTGTAGGCTCATTTTTTGTAACCTTCAATTTCTTTAATAAAATATCGATCCAATTCAACAAGAACGAAAAAAAAAAACAATATCCTGGGCTCTAAGGAACTTTCAGAGTCCCCAATTCGTTGTCATTTCGAAAGCTGGACATTAAAATATTCAGATATACTACAATGCTCTTTCCACGACCAAAGTTTGGGCATGACAGCTATAGAAGAAGGAAAAGAGAGTTGGAAGGCTTTCTGATGTCGGATTCTCTCTCACACGCACTTATTATATGCTCCTACAGAAAAGCAATGCTTGGAAGTTTGTATATATCGACCCTTGTGAAACTGGAAATGCCCAGCACTAATTTTTCTTAGGGCTAATTAATTGTCAAGTACAATTGTTTGGTAAATTTACAAGCACATAATTAACGGATCAATTATAGGATGCTAGAAGTTGATTAAAGAATGTCATACGCATGTTGTTTCCAGGAAGTTGCATGGGGAAGAATGTCAGTGATTAATTGAACGACGATCAGCTCAAAAGATAGCAAAGTGCCGAAGAAGCCCATCAAAATAGGCATTTAACCGTCTAATAACTTTTTTGCTTGGGTACGTTTTCTCTTATCATCAATTTGAAAGTATCAAGTAGCGTCAGTTGAAGAGAAAAATATGATAGAAGTACAATTTTTCTTAAAAAAAAAATTAAAGGAGTAAATCATGAACTTGTAATTAATTATGATCAGTCAAGTAATTTTAATTTAAACCATTTTGATAGATTTTTTCAAATTAAGAATTTGCAGTAGTTTGTTACAAATTAATGATCGCGACAATTGTGGATTCATTGATTCTTAACAACTGGCTGTCTTGGTTATGTGTGAACCTGAAGATCAAAAGAACAAGAGTGAAAGAGTGTTATGCTATAGCATTTCAATCCCAAAAAAATGGAACGTTGTTGTTTCATGCAGGTTGGATTGTCGGCCCTTTGATCTGTATTGCCTTTTTTTTTTCTTGTCTTGCTCTCGAACGACAATTTTCCGCACCACCGGAGCCTCACCCAAAATCCTGCTTTCCTTCTGAAACGAACTGCATGTCTTTGTAATCTAATCCCTAGAACCAGGAAAAACATATGGTATTGTATTTGTATGAGATACAAAATCTGGATTTTATACGAGGGAACCCTCAAACTTCGTCTTCTTGATATTGGATTTAAAAAAAAATTGTCCCCATGCATTAATATGTAAGGGGTACGTTCGATGTAATTTAAGTCATGGTAGACATTGTGCAACATAAAACTAGATATAATATTAGACTTATAAAATATTTAATTTGATCTCCATAAGATTGACTCAGTGGGTAAATAATCCAATTGTGTGGTATGGAGGCATGCAATTTCTTAGTTGTTTGTGTCTGGAAAAAGTTTTGTGCTTGCCTTATCTGTTGGATTTCAATTCAAGATTTACTAGTTGTTTCGTGTGGTAAGAGCGATTTACCCGTACGGCAGAAAAAGGAATTTAAGCAGTTTTATTTTTTTATTGTAAATAAAACGTTTGAATTCGATTCTTTTTTTTTTTTAATAATAAAAAAATGTTAGTTGAGTTAAATTTTATTGATTTTTAAATATTTATTTACTTGAGTCAATGAAAACATTGATGTTGAAAACTAGATATGATTTATTACGAAGAAGATGATGCGACAAATTATCCATGATAAAAGAGAAGCTAAATTAGGTGTATAATTTTCCCTTCGTGAGAAATTGAAGTGCAATGCGTAACCACTTGGATTAAAAAAACTCAATTTAATCTCTAATGTATTCCTTTATTACCAATTGAGTTTTAAACCTTCTGATTCCTTCAATTTTGCCATGAACACAATGGACACTGGACAGTGTCTTTTAGACCATTTACCATTAATAATTGTTAAATATCTCATCCAATTTGTATGTGTTTGTTGAATTTTTCATCAAAAGCATCAAAATAAACCCTCATCTACTGTAACGAATAATTTTAGAGCCAACTCGTAATAAAAAAATATATATATAAGTTAGTGAAGTACGTGGATGAAAAATAAAAATAATCTATGATGTGATGCTAAAATGATTTGTTATGATATATCAGGACTTATTTTGATGCTTTGGATGAAAACACTTAATAACCACGTGCAAACTGAATGGAGTATTTAACTAGCACTAATAGTGAATGGCTGGCTTGAGAAATCACACTGTCTAATATCTATCAAATTTATAATGAAATCGATAAAATCAAAAGATTTGGGACTTGACTAAATGTACCAATACATTAGGTATTAGATTGTTGGATTTTTCTCTTTTGAGGACTCTATCGAGAAAATAAAAGAATTTTGAAAATGACATTTGTAAAAAAAGATTAAATCTTATCATTTCTATGTGGAAGAAGATTAGTTCTATTTCTAATATAAGATGAGAATATTTTAAAAAAAAATTACACCAACCAAAATGATGTTTTCTGTCATTAAAAAAAAAGTCTCTCAGTCTTTGGATGGAAAACAAAGAGTAAATTTATGGAATCGGTATGTTATGTGCAATGAAGATATTAAAAAAAAAAAAAAAAAAACCTAGACCAACTCAAATGACTTTTTCTATCTTTGAAAAAAAATGTCTCTCGTTCTCTAGATGGAAAATAAAGAGCCAATTTTATGGAATCGTCTGTTATCAACTTATAATGTACACTGTAATAGGCATGATTAATAGTTTAATAGCAAGAATCACCTCCGTTCTATTATAATTTAGTAATTTTAGATTTTTAATATCAAATTATGTAATTTGAATCACAAAATATCAGTTTTTGGATAAAATTAATTTAAATTTCTTATTTTTTGTTATCCGTAACGATCAAATGAATTAACGAGTTAAGTATAATATCAAAACAACGTTGTTTTATGCATTTCGCTATTAATATTTTTAAAAAAAATTAAAATTAAAAATTTAGAATTAGAGAGGTTAAATTAAAGCGATAAGTTTTGTGCATTCCATTTTTAATTTTTTAAAAAATAATAATAAAATTAGGGGGTTTAAAAATAAATAAGTTTAAAAATAAAAGTCTAAACTTTTTTTTAAAACTTTATTTTTAAAAAGTTCAGATTCTTATTTTTAAAATTTTATTTTTATTTTTAACCTTTCTAATTCTAAACTTTAGGGGAAAAAAAAATTAACGGTGGAATGCACAAAATATATCCCCTAATATAATCGATATAATTATACACTTTTATTTTTAATAACGGAATACACAAAATGATGTCGTTTTAGCATTTCGATTAATAATCAATCTAATATATTGTTACAAATAACAAAAATTAAAAAATTAAATTAAATTTTTTAAAAATTTAGTATTTTAGGATTCAAACAAAAAAAAATTAGTATTAAAAATATGAAATTATCAAAATAATATAACTAGAGCAAATTTTGCTGTTAAAGTCACGATTAATTAGGTGAGGGTCTCTTCAATCGCTTCCCAAGAATTTAATTCTTGCGAAACACTAGCGTACGTTCACTGATGGCCAAGTTTCTCCACCAGAGTAGCCAAGTCTTATCAAAAAACTAAAATCACCGGAATGTTCCAATTTTTTTTTTTAAATTTTATTATTATTATTATTATGAATGGGGAGGAGGAGCTCTCCAATGTGCACACGTAAATAATCATTTGGCTATTCTTTGAGGACAGCAATATGTTACGTTCAGCCAATGTTAGCCAAGTGGAATTCCAAACGGACTCACTCAATGTGAACCTTAACACTTCCTTTCCATTTGAACGTAATTCACAGAAGTTTCGTACTTTTTGGGATCTTTAATTAGTTTAAGCCAATTCAAGTTTATGTGGACAAAACTCACTCTCCCATTCTTTCCTTCATGCGTGACAAACTGATTCCACCTTATCCAATTCATGCATGCACTTCTTATTCACTCTACAGCGAATCCTAAAATGCATTCCCCACCCAAGAAACAATGCATCTTAAGCAATTAATTACAGCCTAAGAACATAGACACATGGCACATTCTTAGTATATTAGACCGACTGAATATGACAGATCATAGAAAAGAATCAACACTGCCTGATGATTGTGTAGTTTGTTCATAAATTTTGCAAATCAAATGCAAAGTGGGTCTTGGTGTGTACACTTGACGCGTGGCCACATGTTTTGCATACTGTCAAAAGAGATGGAGATGCAGGCTTTTCCTCTCTTTTGCAAACAAAGTACTCCGTGTTGGAAAATTTGTAGATGCGATGCGATATAGATCAGTGGGGTCGTATATAGAAGGGAGAAATTTGGCTTCAATTATCTGTTTAACAGAACAAATATTTAATCATTTACTACTAATTTGGCTTTTATTTTAGGGAAAGCTTGATTTCTAAGTAGTTACAACTTCTAAAAGCTTATCTTGAGATTTATTTTTATGTATTTATTACATACTCATTCATGAATTGCATTGTATATGTCATGGAATTTTTTATATATACTTTTTTTTTTGTGAGTATTTTGAAGTGTTGACTTGAAAGATTAATTAATGAGTTTGCTTTTCACGATATATTTATTTAGGAATTGATTTACGTTGTAATTATCTCAATTTACTGTAAAAAGAAAAAAAGAAAATGATTTTTGAATTTGTAAGTATAAATATAGATTGTTTATTTAAAACTTAACTGAAAGTTATTTAGTCTTGACATATAAAAAATGGTACTAAAACAATATATATATATATATATATCATCTTAGTGGTGGAAAAGAAAAGAAATCCATTGATCGGTGAAAATGCGTTGGCACAAAATCTTATCACATCCCGAGCAGACCCATGATATTCAATCCTTATTCCTCAATAATTTGGCAAGGTACAAGGTAAATACTACTAAATAGGAGCAGGATCCTTACTCCTAACTTCTATCTAATTGTGGCTTCTTTATACTGGCCCAATCTGGTAATAGAAAGTTAGGAAACGTGAATCGTCAAAAATGGTTACCCTATAAGTTCATGTAAAGGTGACCTTTTGAATCCTGATCCTTTAAAAGATGCGGATGCGTATAGTTGTGCACCTGTAATTGTCAGGCAACCAATACAAATAAAAATATTCTATAATATAGTTATGTAGATAATAACACCACAAGTAAGAATTTCATATTGTGATGGAGGCTGGCGGTGCACGTCAACAGGCTTCTACTCAAAACTCTTCCTTGCAAATGCCAGACACAAGAATCGTGAGAAAGGCATCTTTTTCTCTCTACCACTAGCCTCGACGTTCTCTGCTGTTGAGTCGTGGACCTACCGTTTGTTGCCATGTCAGCATAAAAAATTATAGTTCTGGACATCACTTTTAACCGAACTCTGTCTGTCCCTTGCCCCCGTATTGGTGGGACTTAATTTTCTGCTGCCTTTTGGCCACCTATTTGGCAATTGGCACCTCATAGTTCTTTTTTATTAATTTTTTATTTTACTTCCTTTGATCTGGCGCGACTTGTTGATAAAAAAATATATGTATATAAATCATGTACAACCATGAATTTAATCCATAATTAACTAATTACTTGTTTTCATTTTTTTTTTAACCATTTAATTGAGTTACTCGAACAAGCATCCCGTGAATTTAACTCATAAGTAATTGATTACCTGACAAATCTTTGTTTTATCAATAATTGAATGACTCAAACTGACACACTCGTTTTTTACATTGACTTCTATTCTAGTTAATATTAAAAAAATACGAAAATCTACTACTTTAAGATAGATGATTTTAACCATGATATAAATCAATATATCTAAATATTACATTTAAAATTCTAACAACTAATTACACAAATTATAAAGAAAGTTCTCTAGCTCGTTTCTATAAAATCATATGCATTTTCCATGATGTGATCGTGTGAAGATACTTAGCATAGACTGTCTGAAATTTGAATGTGCCATTAGCGCAACTTTGATGGAATTTAACATTAAATCTAATTAGTGACCACCCTTGTCTCTTCACAGTCTGTCAATCAGTACACTTAAAAGGGCATATGTCCTGACAAATATCTAAGATTAAATCGGGCAGTACATCTCACTAAGAACAGCTAATTAATGCTTAATTATAGAATGCTAATAATTGGAAGTTTCATTAAAAAATGACGTCAACAAAACAAAGGGACATGAATTTTAATGTACAGGGAATGAACCCTCATCGAAAGAATATTCCTCATCCACAACCATAAAGCTAAACTCCCGCAAAAATTGCCTTCCACGAACACCAACCTAATATCACCATGCCAACCACATGTTAATTATTCTACCAATCAACCAATCCTTCGGCAAAGACAAACCTCACAAGTTAAAAACACCCGAGATCTAACTAAATTTCCACGGCCTAGATTAAACCACAATCACACTTCATCATGGATAAGGATAAAACTCGGTATCCTCACCGCCAATATCTTGCCCTTTTACGTCTGTCCAATTCAGCACCCCATAAGGCATAAACTCCCCCTTCTTATGTCATCAAACCGTTTCCCAATTATCCACTTGTAAATTCCACGTCAACCCCAACGAAATAAAATAACTTAACGGTCCTTCCTCATTTCTGGACACCTGCTACTCTCTCGCGTATATAAACCCTTTTGGGCCCTCAGAACTTTGAAACAAACTTCGCCAGTTCTCTTTTTTTTTTTGACTGGAAAACACACATCATGGTTTCTTGGGTTAGAGGAAAGTGCATAGGCAAAGGCTCTTTTGGCACCGTCAACTTGGCTTTCGGCAAACAAACCGGTGCTGTTTTTGCCGTGAAGAGTGCCCGTGAAGCAAATCAAGTTCAAGCGTTAGACAATGAAATCAAGATTCTAAGCTCGTTGTCTTCTCCTTATATTGTTAAATTCCTCGGAGACGACGTCTCGTTTGAGAATTCGAGAGCTTGCCGGAATATTCACATGGAGTACTTGCCAGGTGGCACCGTTGCTGATCTGGCTTCATCGACCCGTCGTTTTGCTGATGTCGACGAGGAGACTGTTCGTTCATTTACTTACTGTATAGTTTCTGCTTTGAAGTACATACACTCAAGAGGCATTGTTCACTGTGATGTTAAAGGCCGGAATATTCTATTGGGTCACAATTCAGTTTTCGTTAAACTAGCGGATTTCGGGTCAGCGGTTGAGGCCTCGTGTGGGGAGCCCCTCTTGCCACGTGGAAGTCCGTTGTGGATGGCACCGGAGGTGATTAGACGCGAATACCAGGGACCAGAAAGTGATGTTTGGTCTTTGGGCTGCACAATTATCGAGATGGTCACTGGAAGGCCAGCTTGGGAGGATCGAGGGGTTGACTCACTGAATCTAATCGGGTTTTCAAACGAATTGCCCGAGTTGCCGAGTCAGTTGTCTGTACTCGGTCAGGATTTTTTGACGAAGTGTTTGAAGAGGGATCCAAGTCAGCGGTGGAACTGTGATCAGCTACTCCAGCATCCGTTTTTAGCTTCTGTGAGTCCTAATTTGTTGGCTAATGAATTGTCCCCACGTTGCGTGCTTGATTGGTTTAATTCAGATTTCGAGGAAGATAATGACGTAATGGAACCTGGGATGATGACTTCGAGTTTTGAAAATATTGAGGTTTCGGCTAGAAATAGGATTAGTAAATTGGTGACAAGTGGAGGGGTAAATTGGGAAACAGAAGATGGCTGGCTGGAGGTGAGGAACTGCTGTGGGGATCGTGAAAGAGGAGAGGAGGAGGAATTGGGGACAAGTTCGGTATATTTTTCTGATTCGGTGTGGATAAGTGAGGAGGAGGGAAGGATAGAATGGGAAGTTTGTAATTGCAGTGGCAGTGAATTACACGTGGATGGGTCTAATGGGTCGATCTCTTGCGCAATTGGTTGGTGCGGTGAGATATGCAGAGGCAAGGAAGGGAGTGGTGGTTTGGGTTGTCATTTCGGTTCACAAAAAGTGCAGTTAGCGGTGGAGGGGTGTGAGTTGTTGGTGTTGGTAGGGATTTACTACAGATTGCTGTGTAATTTGCTGTTGTATTTACTGCAATTTATGAGAATGATAAGATATAATTTTATTCTTTGTTATGAACTTTTTATTATTGGGTTTAATTTATGCATGAGAATGGCAGTATATCCAGCTGTGTTTTCAGTCCAGTTAGGAAGTTATTCTGGTAATTTCCGGTGTAGAAATACCATTCTGACATAAAAATATTCACTTTATAGTTTGATGATCTAATTTTGCTGCCAAGTTTTTTTAAAGTACAAATTGAATTACTTTCTTTATGAGATCTTTTTACCACTCTGATAAAAGTGGAGAGTGATTGTTTTCGTCAAACATCTTGACAGGTGAATGCTTCCCGTAATAAAATAATCTTGGACTTTATCCCCTCTGGAAAAAAAAAACCCAACCTAAAATCCTATGATTTTGTCTGAATTTTGACCCGTACGAGTTAAACAAAGGATCAGTCAAAATCTAAAGCATAGGCCGCCAAAAACTGATGAACGTAGCCATTAGTCATAGGGACAACGAGGAGAAAGAATTGGAAAGAGTTACTGATCAAATCGAGATTGAAGATATAGTATGATTGCTGGTCTGTAGTTTTTCTTGATTTTGTTTCCTATGGGCAAGTTACTAGTTTTGCCATGGAGGCCATTTTGGCAACAAGGCATGCGGATCCGCATGCAACTTGCTAGAGGAATGGCCTCTCATTATCATGGGCATGTCAGTGATTGTGTTGTGAATTGGATACAACAATAAACCATTCAATTTCGAAGAGACACACGTCTTTTCCAGCAATCAAGGAGAAAAGATTCAAATCTAATTAAAGTTAATTATCGAATAGGTTCGTAATTTTTCGCTTTCTGATCAGCTGCATGCAATTTGTTACTACCCAATTCTTTTAATCATGTGGTTTCAAGGTGGTTAATTGCGTAACATTCCTTAATTCTGAATCTACAAACATCGCAAAAGGGAGCAGCACTTAGACAGATTAATTAATCAGGTGGTCTAATCTTTTGCATTCACGTTGCACTTTGTAATCAATGATGTGACATTCTATTAGATACCCACATTTCCTACACGGTGTTTCAATGACATTCTATGAATTTGATATGTGAAATGAACGTATAAACAATTAAAATACGTGTCTATGCTTTGACGAAGAATAAAATGCGGTGTCAAGATTTAAGATATAGCAGGCACTTCAGCTGTTGCAGTCCAATCCAATTAAACAGGATGATCACAATCATTATCAATGTGATTTTTTTTGGAAGTGATAAAATATAATGACGTTGTAAGATGTTTGTGGGATCATTGATACCAAAATTAGCTCCTTCTTGCTTGTCTTTTCTTTTGGGCATGCCATCTGACCAATGTCTCTTTGACGTCTCTTTGGCGGCATGGCATAGATTAAGATCAGTCCTAAGAGCAACTTGATGTCGGAGTTATCCAATACTCCATTATATGGAGATACAAGTCATACATATATATTCTGAGCCCAATTCCATGAGTTAGTCTAGTGGTGAACCAGTCACAGTCCATGACATATAGTGTGGTAAAGGAACCCAAAACGTTCTAATCATAAACATATATGGTCAAAGCTCGATCAAAATTAATCTGTAAGAGACTTAGATGTTTGGTACCTTTTATTTGTCGAGCGCTTGTACCAAACATTGGATGTCTAAACGGCTTCATTGGCATCCTTGTCATTTATGCCTCCTGCATGTTTCCACATTTCAGTGGACTTAAGATCCGCTTTGCAATGTGCTTTGTCGACAAACGACATGAAAATTTTATCATGTTTGCCAGCAAATTTTTTCTTGATCTCCCCCTATTTTGAGATTCTCTTGATTGTTAAGTTTTGGCGTACACGATGACATGCTGAAACTTCTCACGAGTGCTCCTTCTTTCAATAGACTATTCACGGATTATAATATTGCCAAGATTCCAATTGTTCGTAAAGAAATATAATCCGAACTATGTTGCCAGGAAATTTCATTACATATCTATTGTTGCTTCTCCTCCTCCTTTCGTCTGTTCCCAACCTAGGACCTTTGTACAAGGCCGATCTAATTCGTACTCCCGAGGCCTAGTCTTGATTAACCCATGAATTTTGTTTGTCTCCAACCCCTGGAATCCCATGGAAAGACACCATGATCCCTCGTAGGGGGCAAAAAAAAAAAAAAACATGCAGAAAGGAAACAGCGATATTCTCAGAAGGGAAAAAAGTACAAAGGAAAAACCATCCACTATTGGCCAATGTTTTTTACCATTGAGTGAGCAATTCGGGGACTTCATTGTCCTTGGCGCACTTAGTACTTACGACATCTACCATGATTCCAACATTTATTGTTGGAAATAAGAGTTTAAAGTCCCTTCAATGGCCTTCTCACAAAATTACAACCATTAATTATCTAACCAGAAAGGAAAAACAAAATCTTTTTAATAAGATGCACTTGATCAATAGATGATATGCAATTGTTTTTATTTCCGCCAGCTAATTATTCTTTTAATCTGGTTCGATTTCATATTCTCTTTGATTGTTTATGTTATTGCGTATCTGGCATGTTTTCTTTTTCAAAGATCAGCATGCATCTTGCTTTATTATAGTGAAACTTCTGATGAATTTTATTTCTCATTTTTTTGAGTAAACCGTGAGTGTACTATCTAATCATATTGGCTGTGCGAATAATTTTTTTCGAAGAACCTGTGGTTGAAAACAAAGCAAGATCCCTTACTAAAGTTGAAGGAAGCTTCAGCAACTATGACTCCTTTTTTGTCTATTCACCTTTGCATTTGTTGGGGAGCGAAGAACTGGTAACCTAGTTTTATTATTTTATAGCTGCATATTTGAAAGATGTTTTGTGCACAGCTTACCACGACCGCCGTCCATCCCCGATGGAAAATGAAAACTAGCGGCTACATACAGCGAATGGGCTTAGGTTGAGTTCTTAGACATCCATTAAGCCATAGCCTGTTGTGGGCCCTCAAGTTTCAGGCTTGTCCACTGAAACTTGGACCAGGACTATGCATAACAAGAAACTGACAGTGGGCAATGACTAATTAATTGCCAGATGGTAGGGTGGTAATTATTTAATTAATATAGATTAATTTAATTTACTATTATTTTTATTTTACAAAATTTTATTATTTTCTCATCAATATTTTCATATTTCTTTATTTTCTTATTTTTTTAAAAAATAAATTACAAATAAATTTCAAAACATAAAAATTAAATAATGAGTTTTTGAAATTAAAAAAAAGCTAATTAATTTGTTATTCAAAACGAGAATGATTAATTTATAATTTACTCATCTTTTAGTGGTACGGCTCCCCTCCAGTAAAAAAAGCCTCCATTTCTCTCAAGTTGTCTATTCACGTTTAATTCACCACAATGCATAAATAAACAAACATGTTGCATACGCAAAGACCAACAATGAGACCATTGAAACTAAAGCCCAAGCCCAGTCCTCCTAAATCCATCGTGCAACATTGAACACCAACCTTATTCCTCTTCCAAAGTATCCAAGATCTCTTATCTTTTCAAGTTTGATACATAATGATATATCTCAATCACTTCAAATACTATGTTTTATCCATACATAACTCATTTATCTAACACATTCATCAACATACATTTTATTTAGCAAAATTGTAAAAGCAACATAAAGATATCGAAAACTTACCTTGTTGGTCAAAATAGCTTAGGAACTTTCCGAGGAATGTCGACAAGTCGAAGTTCCTCCTATACTCGTTTAGACAACTTTCTTCACCTTTTGATAAAGACAATTAATATTATTAATCAAAGAGGAAATTTTGACTAAAAGAGGGTTGCCTTAATGGGAGTTAAGGCAAAAAAAAAAAAAAAAAAAAAAAAGAGGAACAACTACTAATTTTGGCGGTGAGTTGCTATTGTTTTGGGGGAGGATGCTACCACTATGCGTAGTGATTCTCCCGGTCGAGAGATATTGCCCAAAATTGGTCATTTTAGCCATTATTTTGAGGCCAAAAAATAGACAAAAATAAAGTAGATTTGTGGTTGGAAATCATCGAGGGATAACGAGTTGTTGTGGGAGGATTTCACCAGTCTTCGTCGTTTTATTGATTCCGTCGTCGTAGTCTGTTGCAAGACAATGGCATCAACGAGTGACAATAGAGGAAGGAAGTTTGTCGAGTTGCTTTTTTAAGGTTTTTTTTTCTATTTTTGATAAATAGCTTGAGAAGGTTTTTGGGAGGTTTTGTGTGGCTTAGGTTGTGGTGCCTATGGATGATGAGTAGAAAGTTTTTTAGTGGTTGATGGTGGTTGTTTTAGGAGAGATGGTTGGAGAGAATATTTCCTTCTCTCTCTGTTTCTTTCTCTCTAAGAAAAGATGAATGGTCTTCTCCTTCATGAGAGAGAAGAAATAATCCTTTTATAGTAGGGTTGTTAGAGTTTTAAAGAATATTTTAAATTAATCCCATCTTTTTTATTCTTTTTCAAATTTTAAACCGTATCTTTTTCTTTTAATTGAACTCCAAATTCTATTATTTTTTAATCCATTTTCTCATATTTTATCAATTGTGCCTAAATTCTCAATTTATTTTCTTTTCTCTTTTCTCATTTTTTTTATTTTTTCTCTTTTCATTGTTTGTTTTCTTTTAAACCCAAAAAACGAGCTTTCTAAAATCCTAACGACAAAAAACTAAAAATTTGTAAAATTAATTGAATTAAGTCAAATATTTTGTTCTTTTTTTTGGTAGAATTTGAAAATAAAAAAGGTCAAAAAATGGATGATAACAATGGAGGTGATGGCATGATTGAAATGGTTGAATGGAGATGTTTGGGATTGTTGTAGGGAGTTGTTTTATGGCTTTTCTTGTGGAATTTTTGCTGTTGTTTGGAGTGGATTTTTGTTGATGTATTGGTGGCTGTTTTGGTGTTGATTCAAGACGTTAATGAGTTGTTTTGGTGGTCAATTTTGGTTATCGTTTCAAAAATATTAAGGGTCTATTTTGGTGGAGTTTTGATTGTAGTTTTATGGAGGAAATTGTGGCAAAATGAGTTGTTTCAATGGTAGTTGGGGTCATATTGGTTTTCTATTTTTTTTTAAAAAAAACCTTTTTATTGGTTTCCATGAACAAAAAGGAAATAAAACATACATATTTTTTAATTTTTTTTTCATTTTTAATTTTTTTACGGTTCCCGTGGGTCTAGCAAACATATCCAT